ATAGCGTCGTGCATTCCATCAGCATGTAGCAAGAACAACAACAACAACAACAACAACAACAACAACAACAACAACAACAACAACAACAACAAGGCATGCGTATCCTGCTGCCACTATATCAGCAACAACAGGTGGGTCAAGGTACTCTCGTCCAGGGCCAGGGCATCATCCAACCCCAACAACCAGCTCAATTGGAGGCGATCAGGTCATTGGTGTTGCAAACTCTTCCAACCATGTGCAACGTGTATGTCCCACCTGAGTGCTCTATCATCAAGGCACCATTTGCCAGCATAGTCACCGGAATTGGTGGCCAATGAAAAATGCAAGAGCCATACTAATAGGTAGATGGATCATCGTTGCTTAGCTGATTTACCAATCGATGTAACGATGACAAATAAACTGGTGTGCACCATCATGTGTCATCCTGACCAGTGCTAGTTCAAGATTGGGAATAAAAGAGAAGAACGTTCATGTTTGCCAACATTGCTTGTCATTGTTCCATTCACTGTGTATTTATATTTTCATCCTGAACTGCAATTCTAGTCTTACACATCAATAGCTAGTTGCTCATGTCGGCAGGTTCCTATGTAATCTAATGATTAATGGTCGACCTATTAATCTAGTTTATCGGCCGATTGATCTATTAATTGGTGCTCCCAAGCCGACCGAGCAGCCATCAGTTACCGATTTCCTGAACATTGCACACAATAATAATTCAACACAAGATTGGCCATATAAGCAGTAAAACAAGCGCCTGATTAGAAACCATCCATCACTTTAAATTAATCTAGATATTTTTGTGTTGGTGCAATTTTGAGTTGATGGCACCGACACATTCTTGAAAGAAATTCTACAGGGAACTCCAAAGAGGTGAAAATCAAACTAAAGTTGCCACATGGTAAAAGATAAATCATGCGGCAAGCAAGAGGAAATATTGAGTCACAATAGCTAGCGCCAAACATGTAATTAAACTATTCTTATGGTTTCTTGCAAAGAGTGAAGTAATTTACAGATGACAAACAAAACGTAATTAGCATTAGTTCTAATTGATTGTAGAAATTTCTTTTATCGGTAGAATAACTCAGTTGTTACTTATTTAAACATGCACTGTGATATTGACTTATCTCAATCTAGGAACACAAAGCAAATACTACATTTGCTGCTATGGACTCCAAACAGATGAGAAATCATTATGTGTAGAAGTTCCTTAGAAGGATATTTTGGCCTAAACAAATTTAACATTGTACTCGTGTCTTACATAGTTAAAGCTGAAAAATCAACACAACCAGTGGACACTTTGTAAGACAAGTGTGGGAAACAAATAGTAGGATATAAATTTGAGTAGAATGTTTGCTCAAATGTTGAAAAAATAACCCAGCAAACTAAAACTCAGCAAAACAGTCTATTCTACCTTATACGGACTGTCACAATGATAATGCTATGTTTTTTTGGAATACAAATTCAAAAAAAAAATCAGCCACAGATCCCTGAGCCCATCCAACAGGAGAGCTTCAATTGAAAGAAGTATTAGTTCGATTAGACCATGTAGTACCTAAAGGAGGATGGTGGCCCCATGGAACAACTCCAGCCTTTCCATTGTGTCCGGGCGCAATGCGATAATGGAGTTATGGTCATTGGTGGCTTCGCTGGCCATAGACGGCTTATTGACTTCTTCCACTTGAGGATCACCGTGAACCAGTCCTTCTTCCCCATCCTACATAAGCATGCCAACCACAAATAAATGCTCAAAAAGACCATCGTAAATGTCATTGAACCGGATTATGGGAGGCAGAATCTTATGACTCGGTGGATGCAGATATCGAGGCCTCATTTGTATGTTGTGCCTCCCACCAGAGGTGTCTTCTAATTAGAGTGGTGCGAGAAGACAATATAAGCCACCGTGCAAGCGAAACAATTAGGAGGCACTGCTTGTAAAGCGGAGAATTTGGCACTGTCTGGTGGCATTGCGGTAGCCGCAGGGTCGAAGAGAGAGAGGGAGGGAGGGAGGGAGGATGAATCGGAAAACCAGGAGCAGGGGTGATCAACGATGAAAACCAAGATGAAAAAACAATGTGCAAGAGAGGAAGAGGAATAGGCTAGCTATTTCTGTAGTGAAGTAATATGAGCATAACTTAACCCATAGGTGTGGAACTTGGATTCGGTTGAAGTATATACTATACTAAAGTAAGCTGACTAATTGCAATTTAAATCTTTGGTGGCAATGCTTATGAGTTGTGAGGCCATCTTGACTATTCTGGATCTTGCATATGATTCTAATTAAACAATATATGTCAGATGTTTTTAAAGAGGCACACATTATATTTGATTGTTGATTTACACATTCTAATTAAACATTATATGTCAGATGTTTCTAATGAGGCCCACGTTAGATTTGTATGTTGATTTACAAAGGGATTGGTAAGTTGATTCTATCCTTTTTCCTCTGCCATTCTTCCTTTCATAAAATGTGTCCATCGAGTAATTATCCACAATAACAAACATGACTAGACAAAATATCCACGACAAGTTGCATATCTTGTGCAACTGTTCACTGGTGAAAGGCTATTGTGCCACTATCCATCATTGCAAGGAAAAACACAAAAGATTTATGTTCTATCAAATATATTATTTTGTTTGGATTTAGCCAGGTAAGATCCTGGTTGCGTCGGCCATTAGAGTACCTTGCGATCGACTAGACAGTTTCAGCATATCTTCTTGCCTCCTTTTCCATCACTAGATTTCGATGGGCTTGCGAACAGGAAGATAAACACGGCAACAAAGGAGACGAGAGATGCCAGTGATCCATATTTCCAAAGAATTCTCTGCAAGTGAATTCCAAAGAATGCATTGAATTCTGTGCTGGCGTAGAATCCAGCAGCAAGGGAAACACCATGCTGACGCTAGGAGCTACGTGCTGCTACCGCGAGCTCCCATGGCAAGACCTGCCCAGGGAGGACCGGCAAGAGAAACGGCTGAAGACACACCAAGACCCGGCAACATGTAGGTTCATATTTCACCCCCACCCTCAGATAAAAATGTGAATCATTTCAAACATATTAAAACTTGAGTGGATTTTTTTATTTCGGAAAAATATGCCCACAAGAGCTCAGGAGTCAACGTCAGTTCTAGGTAATTAAACAAACAAGAAGATTGACTTGTTGAGCAATTTTACTACATTTTCTTGCTTCCTTTTACGACACTAGAACTTGATGGACTTCCGGTCAGCTAGATAAACATGCCAATAAAGGACTTCTTGACAAGTCTGTGCAGATTAAAGGTATGTTAGTAGGTGGTGTAATAACACATGATTTTAGCTATCTAAGGATACAAATATGCCACTATTTATTTTGTAAATGCTGGAAATCATTGTCAGAAATCTTAGTAACAACAGTTGTCATGAACAACTTCGACTAAATGCATCAAATGTTAGGAATAATACATACTAACTTAGTTCAATAAATTAACCTATTGAAGCAAGAAAAGAAACCTTGAAATGTACTTAGAGTGAATCAATTAAGACGTGCAAAGCCAGTACTAATCCAGTTTTATTAATAACTTCCACAAAATTACAACACGTGACGTAAAAAGGGAATATGATAGGTCATGTATTTATAACGTGTACAACATTACTACCCTTGACATAAAAAGAGAAGTTGATGAGTCATGTCTTAATAATGTGTACAACATTACTATCAGCTTGTTCATCTTACCATCATACTATACAACACTACGAGTTAGTTTAAAAAGGAATAAGAGTTCAGAACAAACATGACAGTACTAGCCTAATCTATCTTAACAACATGAACAAGGACACAAAGTTTGTCTGCCACAAGATATGAAGATTTGGTTTATGTCTAACAACTTGTATAACATGACAAACTTAGATCCAAAGGGAACACAATCCATATAATTGTTTGACATGTAAAGTGAATAAGATGAGTCAGTGCCAATTATCAAGTTTTCCTCACTCTTAGATAATATGAGTAGCAAAAAGGCAACTTTGATGATCACTCCAAAATTACGATTGTATGCCGTGCCACCAAACACAACACACCAAAAAATTAGTTCGATAAGCATTGAATCACTTTAAAAAAGGAAAGCAGTGATGAAAAGAAACCTAGCCATGGTGGCTATAAAAAGGCCTGCAATATGTGAGCTCCATACCATCATCCATCCTTCACACAACTAGAGCACAAGCATCAAATCCAAGTAGGTAGTAGTTAACGCAAATCCACCATGAAGACCTTACTCATCCTGACAATCCTTGCGATGGCAATAACCATCGCCACCGCCAATATGCAGGTCGACCCTAGCGGCCAAGTACAATGGCCGCAACAACAACCATTCCTGCAGCCTCACCAACCATTCTCCCAGCAACCACAACAAATATTTCCCCAACCCCAACAAACATTCCCCCATCAACCACAACAACAATTTCCCCAGCCTCAGCAACCACAACAACAATTTCTCCAGCCCCGACAACCATTCCCCCAACAACCACAACAACCATATCCCCAGCAACCACAACAACCGTTCCCCCAGACTCAACAACCCCAACAACCATTTCCCCAGTCCAAGCAACCACAACAACCTTTTCCCCAGCCCCAACAACCGCAACAATCATTCCCCCAACAACAACCATCATTGATTCAACAATCTCTACAACAACAGTTGAACCCATGCAAGAATTTCCTCTTGCAGCAATGCAAACCTGTGTCCTTGGTGTCATCCCTCTGGTCAATCATCTTGCCACCAAGCGATTGCCAGGTGATGCGGCAACAATGTTGTCAACAACTAGCACAAATTCCTCAGCAACTCCAGTGTGCAGCCATCCATAGCGTCGTGCATTCCATCATCATGCAGCAAGAACAACAAGAACAACTACAGGGTGTGCAAATCCTGGTGCCACTGTCTCAACAGCAACAGGTGGGTCAAGGTATTCTCGTCCAGGGTCAAGGCATCATCCAACCTCAACAACCAGCTCAATTGGAGGTGATCAGGTCATTGGTGTTGCAAACTCTTCCAACCATGTGCAACGTGTATGTCCCACCTTACTGCTCCACCATCAGGGCACCATTTGCTAGCATAGTCGCCAGCATTGGTGGCCAATGAAAAAAAAGCAAGAGCTATTCTAAAAGTTAGATGGCCATCGTTGCTTAGCTTATGCACCAATCGATGTAACGATGACAAATAAAGTGGCGTGCACCATCATGTGTGATCCTGACCAAGTGCTAGTTCAAGATTGGAAATAAAAGACAAACTCAGTCCTTGTTTGCCAGCATTGCCTGTCATTGTTCCATTCCATGTGTATTTAGATGTCTGTCCCTAATCATAATTCTAGCCTTGCACATCATTAGCTAGTTGCTCGTGTGGTTGTTGACATATTAATATAGTTAATAGGCTGATTGATCTATTAGTTGTTGCTCGCAAGTTGATCGAGCAGCTATCAGTTGGCAATTTCCTGAACAATGCATACAATAATATTTCAACATATTTCAATTTCTAGAAGTAAAGGGTCATTTCAGCAGAAAAACAAGTGCGTGAGTTAGAAACCATCCATCACTTTAAATGTTAATCTGGATAATTTTGCATTGGTGCAATTTTGAGCTTGATTGCACTGAAGCATTCTTCAAAGAAATTCTATAGGGGACTCCAAAGAGGTGAAAATCAAACTAAAGTTGCCACATGGTAAAAGATAAAGCATGCGGCGAGCAAGAGCAAATATTGAGTCACAATAGCTAGCGCTAAACATGCCATTAAAATCTTCATATCGTTTCTTGCAGAGAGGAAAACAATTTATTGATGACAAACAAAGCTTAAGTAGCATCAGTTCTAATTGATTGTAGAAATTTCTTTTACCTGTAGAATAACTCAGTCGTTATTTCTTTAAACATGCACTGTGATATTGACTTATCTCAATCTAGGAACACAAAGCAAATATTACATTTGCTGCTATGGTCTCCAAAAAGATGAGAAATCATTCTGTGTAGAAGTTAGCTAGAAGGAAAATTTGACCTAAACAAATTTAACATTGCAGTCATCTCTTACATAGTTAAAGCAGAAAATCAACATAACCAACGGACACTTTGAAAGACAGTGTGGGAAACAAATAGTAGGATAGAAATTTGCGTTGAATTTCTGCTCAAATGTTGAACAAATAACCCAGCAAACTACTAAAACTCAGCAAAACGGTCTATTCTACCTTATACGAACTGTCACAATGATAAAAGATATGATCTTTTTTTGACAAATATGTATCCTAGAACTAATAAAAATTCTAAAAAAATCAGCCACAGATCCTCAAGCCCATCCAGCAAGATAGCTTAAATTGAAATAAGTATTAGCTCGATTAGACCATGTAGTACGATGAGGAGGATGGTGGCCCCATGGAACAACTGCAGCCTCTCCTTTGTGTCTGGGCGCAAGGCGTTAACGGAGTTATAGTCATTGGTGTCTTCGTTGACCATCAGACGGCTTATTGACTTCTTCCACTCGAGGATCACCATGGAGCAGTCCTTCTTCCCCTTCCTACAGGAGCATGCCAACCACAAATAAATGATCAAAAAGACCTTGGTAAATGTCACTGAACCGGATTATGGGAGGCGGAATCTTATGGGTCAGTGGGTGCAAATATCAAGGCCTCATTTGTATGTCGTGCCTCCCACCAGCGGTGTCTTCTAATTAGAGTGGTGCGGAGAAGACAATATAAGTCACCGTGCGAGTTGAGCAATTAGGAGGCAGTGCTTGGAAAGAGGAAACTTTGGCACTGTCTGGTGGCATTGCGGTGGCCGCAGGGGGAAGAGAGAGAGAGAGAGAGAGAGAGAGAGAGAGAGAGAGAGAGAGAGAGCGAGGGAGGGAGGGAGGCTGAATGGGAAAACCGGAAGCATGGGTGATTGACAATGAAAACCAAGATGGGAAAACAATGCGCAAGAGAGGAAGGGAATAGGCTAGCTATTTATGTAGTGAAGTAATATGAGCATAACTTAACCGATATGTGTGAAACTTGGATTCGGTTGAAGTATATACTATACTAAAGTAAGTTGACTAATTGCAATTTAAATTTTTGATGGCAATGCTTATGAGTTGTGTGGCCATCTTGACTGTTCTGGATCTTGCATCAGATGTTTTTAATGAGGCACACGTTAGATTTGATTGTTGATTTACACATTCTAATTAAATAATACATGTAAGATGTTTTTAATGAGGCCCATGTTAGATTTGATTGTTGATTTACACAGGGAGTGATAAGCTGATTCTATCCTTTTCCTCTGCCATTTTTCCTTTCATAAAATGTGTTCATCGAGTAATTCTCCACAAAAACAAACTTAACTGGACAAAATATCCACGGCAAGTCACATATCTTGTCAACTGTTCACTGTTGAAAGGATATTGTGCCACCATCCATCATTGCAAGGCAAAAAACATAAAAGATTTATGTTCTACCAAATATATTCTTCTGTTCAGATTTAGTCAGGTGTGATCCTGGTTGCGTTAGCCATTAGAGTACATTGCGATCAACTAGATTTAATGAGATTTACTCTCTTTCTTTTCCCGGAAAAAAGATAGATTACATGGTGATCAACTAGATAGCTCCAGCATCTGTTCTTGCCTCCTTTCGCAGCACCAGATTTCGATGGGCTTGCGACCAGGTAAATAAGGACGCCAACAAAGGAGACGATAGCTGCCAACGACCCATATTTCCAAAGAATTCTCTACAGGTGAATGGTTGGTCTTTTAGTCAACAGTGTGCTAGATGATGATTAATTCTGGTTTCCTACTTCCATGCAAACAGGTGAATGGTTGTGAAATTACCTTAGCCTGAAAGGTTGCAAGTGCGAAAGGTGGATACACATAAGTGAAGTGTGAGCACCAAAGATATTGCATTCAAATATTAGAATCATGAAGTGATATGATAAGTTGATAACTAACCAATTCAAACTTGTGATGTGGAGGTATCTCGGCGAGAATATCAAATGGAAGGACGGGCCACGAATATGCCTCCTTCAGAAGTGAAAATAAGCTTTTAAGCTCCTTGAACAGAACATTATAGCATAACACAAAACACGACGATGTTTAGAATAATAACACCCCTAGCCTTCATTTCGCTCAAGCTTCTAACTACAAGTAGAGCAGGAATAGCAATTTATCCAAGATGTAGTGAAACTCGCCGTGATTGCTCGTGGCGTCCTCCTACAGATAGGTGAGCTAAGAAGCGAGATCTGGTTGACTCAGGCGGAGCCCTGGTTGTAGAGGTCGAGGGTGACGGCAAGGCACTCGACGATACGGCCGGGGCGAGACAACTTCACCTTCTTGTGCGCCACCACGCACGGCGCGTCCCCTGCAACGAGGAGGAGTATCAGTTATCTGTTTCTACAATGGCCACATGATATATATGGGCATTAGAAAGTCACTTTGGCTATCCACATGGGGTCATGCTTGTATGTAGTGCTTCACGTGACAGCAATACCAAAATGATCGGTTTTGGAAGCATCCAAACACTCTGAAGAAAAGCGAGCCCGAAGATAGAACCATCCTTGCTAAATAGGCCTTCACCGTCGACATCCTCCTCCATCGTCCTTCACACTTACATAAAAGTCGAACAAAATCTAGCCACACGCCGGTCCACCATGACGACATTGATCATCCTCGTCTTCCTTGGTGTACCGGTGATCAATGTTGTTGAATAGTTGGAGACTGGCTGCTGCATCGGCATTGGCCAACAACCATTTCCGCAGCCAGTTCCACAGCAACCACAACTAGTCTCGAAGCATCCACAAGAATCATATCTGAAACAGCCACAAGAAACATTCCATCCATTACTTCATCAACAGTTGGACATGTGCAAAGTGTTCATCGAACAGTTGTGCACCCCCTGTGGCAACATTACCATTCCTTGAATCACAGATGTTGCCGCAAATCAGCTGCCAAGTGAGACGGCAGCAATGCTGCCAACAACTCATCTGGATCCCCATGCCATCCCGATGCCAAGCCATATGTGGCCTAGTGCACACCATCATCATCGAGAAGCAAAAAGAGCAACGGCAACAACGACCACAACTTGGACAGGATTACCGCCGGCGAACAACTAACCCAGTTTGAGGCGATGATGAGCACTGCGCTGCAGACCCTGCCTACAATGTGCGACGTGCACGTGATGCCATGTTGCCTCGTGGGCACCAGCACCACCATCCCGCCAGCCGGCGACATCGATGAGTGATAAGAAGGCAAGGGTTGCGGTACAAGATATACGTGTCGCCGATCAAGCCGATGGATCAATCCACTGGAGTGGAGCTGATACCAAATAAACGCATTGACATTCATCGTCATGTATGACCCTCGACCCATACTAGTGGTTAATACATGCAATTCAGTCCTTACTTCAGAGGGGGGGGGTGTCCAGTTGCGTCTTATTAGTCTTCTCGTTCCCCCTTTCGCAAAGCGAGCTCATTAATTAGATCTCCACGATAAACACGATCTTTTTATTCCCCCTTTTGTAAAACGAGCTCATTATATCTCCACGGTAAAACATGTAATACATCACCCAACGAATTAGATGGACGACCAATGAGGGCACCGACGCCGGATCTGAATATCCACAAGCCGTCGATATCCAAACTTCATAGAAGGTTTAACCATGGGTATATCAATCTCACCCCTGGTTTAACCCAACGTGTTGGTTGGGGGTAATTAGAGTTAGGGAATGAGAATTGAAGGGGTACCAGACTTCAAATCTATTGTTTGGTTGGGGGTATTGGGAATTTACAATGGAGTAGGCATGAGACTTGAGACTCCAACTCCCACCGTTTTATTAACAGGGGAGGGGGTGGGAGTTGGATGGGAATTGTTTTAATGAGTCAATCTTAACCCTTCATCTTAACTTTCCTTGTCTAGTCCCATATCAATTCCCATGAACCAAAGAAGGGAGTATAATTTCTCACGCACCAAACAAAGGGTTGGGAATAAAACGACTCATTCTATGTCTAATCTCAATACAATTCCCTCCTCTAAACTCCCATTCCGTTTCCCAGATATTGCCAAACACCCTACCATGGACTTGGGTGCGCAAATAGGATGAACGAGAAGGGCTCAAATCAACAGCTCCACCGGCATCA